CATTGTCGAACATATTATAAGAATCAGGATCAAGTGTCCAGTAAGAGCCCTTGCCCGGCTTCTTGTCATCGCGTGCCACCTTCACGAAACATTCATTCAGACTTAAGTTGTGACGTATGGAATTTTGCCAGCCTTGTTTGTTGTCTCGATAGTACGGAAACCGTTCCATTATATATTGATAGATTCCATTTAGTGTGACCTTCTTGTCTTGTGCATTTTGTATAGCCATGGCTATTAATGCTATGTACGAATATGGCGGTTTTACAATTTCCTTGTTCTGGTGTGGCGCACCAAGGCCATAAGCGGTAGCAGGATATGAATAGCGTGAATATTGATCATAAGCATAATGCGCTGCGGCTGCAGCGGATGCTGTTGTCATGGCGCCGGCAGTTGCCGCTGTGGGATAACCGGCGGTTTGCGCATAGTGACGCGAAAATGAATTCTGATCCGTAAAAAGCGTATGCATGGTTTTTTGAATGTTTTTTGAGATCAAATGCAATTTCAGGAGTTTTATTTATATTATTATTATTTTTTACACACTGAATACTGATGTTTCAGATTCCTTAGAGTTAAAGGATATTTCACAAAATTCTTCCGTTTAAATGCAAAACATTTTTGTAATTAAAATATTTTAAATATTCTTAGAGCAACATTTTATATGGTTTTTTAATATATATTAAATATTTTATTTTTTTATTTTCAAAATTTGTCTTAAATTTATTTTTGCTATATTTATTTTGTTTAAAAATATTTATTTAATTTCACTTTGGCATATTTTAAAAGTAAACTTTTTTTTGTTTCTTCTTGTACAGCTTCACTGGCTGATGCTTTTATTTATTTTTTCTTTAAGGAAAAATTAGAAAAACAGCAAAGTTTATTTATTTAAAAATTACTTCTTTTTTCTTTTATTGTTTGTTGTTTTTTAAACCACTTAACGGTGCTTTTAGCTTCTGCACTTTACAAGCTGCGCAACCGATCCGTACTCGTTAGTAACACGTCAGATACTGAATCAGTAACTGAAATAACAAGAAAATCTCGGCAACGGTGTGTGTTGCCTCGATCGACGTCGCCGTCAACGCCAGCACCCGCACTTTCCACACATTATGTAGTTGTGTTAGTATAACGAAAACTCTATGTATGAGTGAGCAGTACTTTACGTGCAATTGTTACATTTTGTTGTTGTTTCTTGTGATACTGTTTTAATGTTTTCATGGCACAGTTCCACCATTCACCATTCACCACAGTAGCGCAACAGCAAGCAGAGGAAAATTACTCCGTGGTTGATTTCTCTTTCTGTGATAGAAAAAGCAGTAAAACTCGTATTTAATTACATTTGTGTGGAATGTTGCCCCATGTGATAATAGAAATGCTGTTGTATTGGTGCATACAAGCAAATATGGTTTTAACCGAGAGAAAGAAGCTATTGTAAAAGAAGCTACTGCAGCAGTCAGAAAGCTATATAATACTTGAAGTGTATATTTACAGATAAATGTTAATGTAGGTATATATGCAGTTGCTCTATAGTTTCGTATGTGTTTGAAGTTTAGGATTT